GTTGAGAAAGTCGAAAAATAAATCTTGCAACTCCATACGGTTAAAAAGTTTAACATCAATCGGTGCGATTGTAGAATACATACACTCATTTGCGAAACACAGTCGAGCTGTTTTTATCGGTGATTTTATTTCCGTTCAATTCTTTTCGGTTGAAAAAATACTTCCGTCGATTGCTTTAACTGCGTCGAACTCTTTCGGAATGTTTTTCGCCAGTGGGTTTTCTCCGACCGCTGTTAACTTTTCTTCAGTTGCTTCAATTGCTTTTAATAGTGTTTGGTCGCGCCAATCGCGGTTAATTTGTTTTGGTGGCTCCGGTCGCGCCCAACTCTTCGACCATGCTTCGACTAATTTTTCGACTGCCGCGACTAACTTTTCGACCGTGCCGCAACAAATTTTTGACCGCGGGGACTACTTTTTCGACCACTGTGACTAATTTTTTGACAGCCGCGACTAATTATTTTTTGACCTCCACGATTAATTTTTGGCCGCTGTGACTAATTTTTCGACCATGCCGCAACCAATTTTTCGACTGTCATGACTGATTTTCTGACCGTCGCGACTAATGTTTCGACAGCCGCGACTAACTTTCTTTCGGTCGCGCTGGTCGCGGTTAACTTTCTTTTGGTCGCGCCGGTCGCGGTTCTATTTCTTTCGGTCCAGTCGGTGGCGGACACATTGTCTCGATCCGCAAATTCTGGAAAAAAAAACAAAATTTGGTGGAGGTGGTCTGAAAAATATCCAATTTTGGTCGCGAAAGTCTGGAAATACCAAAATTTGGTCGCAACCGTCTAATCATAAAACCCTAACTTCAAACCGGGCAGTGTCAGATTGCTTTTTCCAGGCGTTTTGATGATTTTATTCGCTTTTTTATTAAACCGCTCGAAAACCGCCCAAATCTTGCGTGAAAAACCGTTCAAAAACCGCCACAAGAAATGAGCGGCTTTTGAGCGGTTTCTTAAAGCAAGAATTGAGCGGTTTGAGCGGTTTTCCAAAAAACCGCCCAAACCGCTCAAACTGCTCAAATTTTGACCCGAGCAAGCATCGATGAAAATTATGATGCATGATGTTGGAATTTGGTTAATTAGTCGAGTACAAAAATCAATTACAATTGTATTGTTTCGATGATTAGTCTGTAGAAATAAAATAAGTTTTTTGGTACCTAAATTTGCGTGATGTTTTTAAAATATCTTCTATTATTATGCATGCCAACTTTTGACCCAATATCATAGTTAAATGACAAACTAATAGCAACTCAAAACATTTCGGTATTTTCCCAGGTACGAATAAGATTCTCGCGCAGTTAAATCATTCCTAATTTTGTTTATTTTATCAAACATTACGAGGCCAAACTATGCATTCTGGGCATTTTCAACAAAATCCGCAACAGGCCAAAATCAGATTTTCTGCGGAATCTGAAAAAATGCTATTTTTTTAAATTTTCTTTGCTCTTTTGGATTCCGCATACAAATACTTAAAATATTGTGCCGCTCAAAATTGCTCCAACAATAGGCGAATTTGAGGAATCCGCAACTGTGTTTGCGGAATCCAGAACAGTTTGTGGAATCCACCAACAAATAATAAGACATGTGGATAGTTACATTGAGCTGTTGCGGAATCCGCAAATTGTAAGTGGAATCCTCAAATTGTATGTGGAGTCCCGATTCCACTTACATTTTGTAGATGCCACTTACATTTTGCGGAATCTACATAAAGAACCACAAGCTACATTTGCTTGTTGCGGAATCCGCAACATAACAAGTGTGCCGACAAAAATTACGTTACAGGTGTTTGTACGCTGAATCCGTGAGATTTTTGTGGAATCTTTTTACATTTTGGAACATGTTTCAAGATTTGTCTCTGGAATCCAGGAACATACAGGCACAAAATTGGGCGCCTATCCAGTGCACAGTTTGGCCTCACAGTGAAGTTCATTTGAATTTCTAAAAAACGCACACTTTTTGTTTTGAGGTTCCCGTGGCCGTAGACGGTTGATATTTTGGGAGATAATAGAGGCTAATATCAAAACGATTTTATTTCTCCCTCACTCCGCCCCCAGTACCGCCTTGGCTGATATTTTGGGCTGATATTTTGGGAGGTAATAGAGGCCAATATCAAAATGATTTTATTTCTCCCTCACTCCGCCCCCAGAATCCGCCTTGGCCTGGTACTGGGGGGCTCTACCCCTCCTTTTGAGACCAACTAGTCAAACTTTCCCTAATTATAAAGTTTCATTCAAAGTTTGACTTCTCGGTGATTTGATCATAGGAAATTTTGATTTTAAAACACATGCATTATCCGCTAAGCTATGTCAACTTGATGTGATACGACTTTTGCTCGTTTAAGATTTAGCCGCAACGCCTTTTTCTCTAAGCAAAATTGGATTAAAATTTCTGTTCGTTCATGCTTTGAACTCGTTTCCATTTTGAACAGGCAAATTTCACGTTGCTTTGATATTTTGTTTTGTCATTTATTCTTTGAACACAACTGTTGGTTTTTTATTTGCTCGAAAAAATGTTGTTTCGGATTCTTCAAGAGGTTGGGCTAAGTTTCAATTGCTTTAATTATAGGGTAGAATGGTTTATGGTAGATTAGTATAGGGCAGATTGGTCTGTAGGATAAAATAGTATAGGGTACATTAGCAGAGGTCAGATTGGAACAGGGTATAATGTCATGGAAATTTTAATTCAAAGACAACAAAGAGATGTTCCAGTACTTCATACAGTTAAATTTCGGTCAATTCTGTCGTTTTTCTTGACTTGGTGCCAAAAAAATTGCATCATAGTTCTTGAAACGAAAACTCACGTTAGATCACAAAAGTCAAGAACAAACTGTTAGCAACCTTATCAAAACGAGCGGCAACCTTTCTACCTCCTAGATTATCCGTTGTGTTGCATTTTGACAAATGACACGTTCTATGAAACAGTGATAGATGAAAATTCGAGTCCAATTGAGCCAGCACCGTTGGATATTACGCCAAGTGCAGATGGCCAGGCTAAAACTGACAGAGATGCATGCACAAGAAGAACGAGAAGACAAGATTGTGAAAAAAATAGAACATCTGGTGCTAATTGGCAAAAGCACTGAATTTTTTAAATTTGACACTGATGATACATGACTTTGTCCAAAAGAAAGACTAATACACACAATTTTGAGAATGATGAGGTAACTACAATTGTCAGTGTGGGGCGTCGGCTGGCATGCCTTCAGCTCAAAGGCAACAAAAAGATCTTAAGTACTTCCAATTTTTTTTTCGGTCGAGTTCTGTCATTTTTCTTGTTTTGGTGTCAAAAAATTTGCATTTTGTTTCTTGAAAAAAAAAACAACTTATGGTACCTGTGCTGTCTAACAATGACCTTTGACTTTCCGAGTTTTATATTAATCAGTGCATGACTGTGTTAACAAAAAAACAATTGCAATGAAGTAAGATGAATTTTGAGAGGGTTATAGCAACTACACTGGTCAGTGGGTTCTGTCGGCTGGTATGCTTTTAGCTTAAAGACTACGAAGAGATGTTCAATTACTTCTTTGGTTTTTTTGGCTAATTTCGGTCTTGATTTGAGGAGTCAAAAAGAGTACATCGTCTGTGTTATTGATACAACAAATCATCAAAAATTTTTGCAACAAATTCTTGCTGGGAAGAGAAAACAATCTCTAACCTCGAAATGTGAGCCCGTTTTGACAAGCCTACAAAAAACCTTACTATCTTATAACTTCTTGTAAGATTTGTTAGAAACCTTACCATCCTAAAACTTCTTATAAGACTTGTAAGGAACTTTTGCCATCTTACAACTTTTTTTTATAAGAAAACGCATTATTATAGCAATTTTTTCTCAAAAAACCAGACTCAAATTTTTAGTTTTCTTGCGAAAAAATCACTATCTTATATATTTTTTATAACAAAAAGTCTCTGCCTTGTAACATTGTTAGAGCCTACTTTTGTAAGATAGCTGACTTTTGGTCAATCCGGGAGGCAACAATTGATTAGGTGAGAGGGTATGAGAACTCTGCCTTTTGCACGACAACTTTGATCAATCGGCATAAAAAATGGGCACATCGACAGGGTTCATACATATATTTTTAGGGCGGCTTGCAATGCCGGGTAGAAATTTAGACCTTAAAAGGTCGAGCCAGACATCAAAGTGTGTTCAAAAAACCATTTTCGCCAATCCTGGCCTATAGTTTGAACTTGGAAAAATTGAAAAAAAAAATCTGACAGCTCAATAATGATCAAAAATTTTTTTCAGAGGAAAACTGCTATAAGAATATTTTCGATATCTGGCCGTAGAAATAAACGCATGAGTCAGCATACCCAAGAAATCATCCGTTTTTTATTTCAACATTATAAACCGAATATGTCGAAAAAACTCGAATGACAAAAAGCCCAAAACTTATTCATAACTCCCTTCGTCAACTTTTCTATTTAAAAAGTTTCTAATTTTTAATTAATTTTGAACCTTAATTCGATAAATTAGATAAATTTCTTATGTCGAAAGAAGATTTAAATATTTGTTGAAAGACACACGCACTCAATAGAGTACAGTTTATATTCTTTTATTCAGTTTTAGTCAATCTTTAGTTCAAAAAGTCCATTTCAAAGAAAAACTGACGTTCAAAAGCAAAAGTATTTCAATTGATTTTAAAGAAAACATTCTTAGCTTCACGTTGATATAATTTTTAATTCAGATTTCAAACTGGTTGCTTTAGTTTTAGTCAATAAATGTCAAATTCGTCTTACTTTTTTGACAAAATAATTGTTTAGCGTAATTTGCCACACTCTTATAAAAATAAGTTATGAAAAAAATTATATCATTGTATAGATGAGATTCTGGGCTTACATATACGTTTTTGAAAACATCAAAAAATTGATTTTAAAATGGATAATTTCAGCTGTAAATTTGTAAAACTGGCCAAAATAAGTTAAATATGGCAGTTACATTTAACAGCAGTAATGTTATTTCGTTCCGGTTGAGCTCTGTAGTATAAATACTGAGGCTATTATATCTCAATTCAGTCCGCTCTTTTATTCAATTTAACAACTTTTGCTATAAATTCGTCAGAATTTCGACAACATTTTATTCAAAATGACTACAACTCCAGCCAAGAAACCCGCCACACCCAAGGCTAAAAAGCCAGCAGCGAAAGCCGCAGCGCACCCGCCCTTCAAATCGATGATCAAAAAAGCGATCAAGGAATTGAAGGACAAAAAAGGATCGAGCAAAGCAGCTATCGTGAAATATATCAGCGCCAACTACAAAGTCTCGTCCGACAAAGTCGCGAACCAGACCAAACTCGCCCTGAGACGAATGGCCGCGAAGAAGGAGATCGTTCACGCCTCGAGTAAATCAGTAGGCGCCAGTGGCAGCTTCAAACTTCCAGCTAAAGAACCTGCAGCAAAGAAGCCAGCCAAGAAATCGCCCAAAAAGAAGACCGCGGCTAAGAAACCAGCAGTGAAGAAAGCAGCATCGCCCAAAAAAGCGTCACCAAAGAAGGCAGCAGCTCCTAAGAAGTCGCCAGCTAAGCCCAAAAAGTCACCGGCAAAGAAACCAGCGGCTAAAAAGCCAGCAGCAAAGAAAGCAGCGCCAGCTAAAAAAGCCAAATAGTAATTCAAAAACTTTTCCAAAACACTTTCATGATACTGTGATTAAATTTCCATGTTTTAATGTTCCTGTAAGGAAAAGTAGCAATATAATTTGATTTGAATCTTGATGATGTAGTTTCGATTTAATGTGATATATTGATTTTAATTATTCCTATTTTCTTCAGTATTTTTCAATACTTTCCTGATAATGATCAATTTCGAGACAAAATAAAATTTTGCACAAGTTGAAAACTTTTGTTAAATGCTTCGCGAGAAGAGAACTGTTAAAGCACAGTAATTTGATTCATAAAAAAAGTTAAAATATATCTAAAAATCGACTAAAAATTAGAGTCTGATAGAAGTAATGTGGCATAGGAAAACCCAAATTTGTTTTCTAGCAAATTCAAAGATAGCAGCTATAGTATTCGGCAGTTAGATTGAACCGATATTCAAACATAATTTTACCAAATCGGCATTTTTTGGGGTTAGAAAGAACGATGAAAGGGAAAAGCACGGATTGTAGTTACAATTTTAGTGTAAAAAGCTTATTAAGTAGAGGGCCATAGTGTATTTCTTCTCATGTTTGAGATGATGAGGTTGAAATCGCCTGACTCATAGATCCGATTAGTGTTTAGAATCCACTTGTGCGATAAAATTGGATTGTTTTCTGATCAAACTGCAAACCGTTCTGTATCAACAAACACTTGTGCACATGTGTCAGACTTAAACATGGTTTTCAAAAATTATAGCAAGAAAAAATTATTACATAATTTGGATCTACTTAATAATCTCCCAAACCAACGGCACAAAATACGTTCTGATTCATCTTGACAAAGATTGTAAAATTAGAGGATGTAACTAAAAGTGGTTATTTGATTTAAAAAAATTGTCCGTCAGAACCACCTTAAGGTGAGTATTTATACATTTGCTCGAAGAAATCGGAGTCAGTTAAGTGTAAAAATGCTAAGTTAATTTAGTTTTTTTATCGCAGATGTAACTTCATCACATCTGCGTTTTTTAATGTTACATCATCTCGTAAGCTATCTTTTTGGTGCTTAATGCGAATTGCCGGTGCTAAGGATTTTAGCAGACCAGTTTTTTAGCAGACCAATCTTTAAGCAGGATCAGAAAAATTATAAAGTCAGAAAGCTAATTTCAAACGCGGCGATTAGCGACCGCTTACTCTGCTGCGCTTCATTTCAACACGAGTAAATCTTTGTTTTGCCGCTTTGTTTTATATAGCAACGAATGAATTTTATATAAACTCTTTGTTTTATTTATAAATATATATAAACTGGGTCGTCATTATATTGCTTATATTACCGTCATCTCATGCTTATTTTTCTCGTGCTTTTTCTGTTCTGATGCTTGTCTCATGCTCAAACAGCAAACCATCTTATATTATTATTATTATAATGATTATTATTAATATGATTATTATTAACCATTTGTCTCAAAAAACTCTCGTGCACGTGTGTCCAATTTTAAGCGTGATTTTCAACATTAATAACAACGAAACTTGCTCATTGACTTTTTAAATTAACGATGGCCATGTTTTCGTATATTCCAGAAACAGGTATGCCTTCAGACGAAAGACACAAATTATATTTCGACCCGATGATCCATTCATTAATAAAACAAGATTTGGAGGTTCCTTACAACGATTTGGTTGGAGAAATCAAAAATCTTGCGGAAGGTCGACTCATTTGCATATCATTTTATGAAAACTTAATTAGCGCCGACCATGAAACAGATATGTATGAGAAGAGACCTTTAGTAATAATTGAAAGTGACAATTTTTGGTGGTCTTTTGAGAAAAGTAAGAAAAATGGAATCACCATTCAGCGAAGCTCTGATGAAAAGACACTTTGGGAAATTTACCGTCGCAAAAAGAGAGCCGGTCAAATTGTCAGAAAACTTTCTGAAAGAAAATTACGCAGCAGATCATGCAAAATAAACCTGAAAATTTTCAGATGTACAACAGTTTTCATGGAGTTACCAGCGAAAACAATTTATTTTCCTATGACAGAATGCAAGGGCTTATCTGTCGTTTCAACTGCCTATCTGAACTTATCGAATATTGTTGGGGAATTATTACACTCATCAGACTACGAAGAATCGGTGAATCGATTTCTAAGATCGGAAAAAATTGATAATAATTTGTTAGATTTAACTAATGCTTTCAGAGATTTCAGATCCCACACCAAAAAGTTGTTACTGTTCTTATTATTTTATCATTCTATTTTTCTTATCTATTCAACTATTTTTGAAACACAAATGAGCCAAAGTGAAATTATTTTTCTCGCTGCGCTATTTATTTCCATACTTTTGTTACCGATCTACGGACTTTTTCTCTTTTCTTTCGTATTCTTTACCATTTCAACCACAATTGATTATCTTAAAACCGCATCTAATTGAATTTAGACTTAGACAATTGATCAACATAGACTTGTTGTAATTGTGAGCTATTTCGTGATATATTTGTGTGTAGTGCTTATATATCTCTGTAAAAAAAGGAAAATGGTTGTAATCAACTTACATAGCCATTTTTTATTTGATATATAATTCTAACTGGTTATTGTTCTCACAAAAAACCATAAAAATGATTATAATGAGTAAATTTGTTCTCTCAATTTTATAAAAACGATAATATGGAGATGCAATTAAATTGGGTTTAGGACAACAGGCCGACCGGACTTCAAGCCGAAATTTTAAATTTATAAGCACTTCAAAATGCTACATTTTCACCAGTTAAAAGTTTGTTCTCAAAAATTTTATAAAGTTAAACCCATATTAAGCGTTCTTCATGACAATGCCCCACTTAAGCGTGGCACCAGGTAGTTACATTAGCCGGATTTTGAAATGCATAAATCGTACTCAAGTAAAACCCTTCGACAATGTTTTATTTTTTAATAATCCTAAACATCAGTTATAGGCTGAAATTTTTTAAAAAAGCCAATAATTTGTTAAGAAAGCTCATGAAATTGAGAACTTCTACACAATTGTCTTCAAATTAATCATTATGCATGACTGATCTTACCATTCTCCTTGAAGCTGTTGGCTGGATTTCCAGCACCTATTTAAAATATATCGTGAACATCTCGACGAAAACATTTTAGAATAATTATGAAAAAAATTTTCATTCTTAAATTGCACACGCTTTCGAGTTGAATTAAGATTAGTTTTTCCTTCAACATGAAATCCAAAATATTTCCGTCGTGAGGTTCATCCGGATTATTTTCTTTAAGCTAAGCAAATTGATATAATTTAGTTCTGAAACAACTCATAAATTTTAGTAAAATAAAGTCATTAGTACTTAAAAACACAGAGCCACGAGACAAATAAAAATCTAATGAAATCTAAAAGACTGATTTGAAACTTTTTTGATCATTTTGATGAAAATTCAGATAAAAATTACATCCCGTTAAAGCTGTTTTCAAACGAGAATCTTTGAAGAAAAAAATATTTGAAAATAAAACTAATCCAATTTGAAAACAAGTATTCAATAAGTTACTTTTAAAAATTCCGCTGAGAAATCTGACAACTAACACTTCATGAGAGGTTAGTTTGCCAGAAAAATCAAAGTCCAATAAAAAAAACAATTTTTAGCATCAACAGTGTATATCTATTTCTTAAAAAAATAAAAATTTCAGCTCGACCTATATTAAAATTTTCACACTTTTTCTTGACATTTTGACTGTATTTTGAGGATATTTCAACCAAATGTAATAAAATTAATCTGCAAGGTAAGACTACGAATGTTTGTTTCAAGAAAATTTTTTAAATAGATTTTAAAAGTACTTTTTTGACGATAACAAATTTTAGCGAGACAAAATGAAACTATGCTTGAATTGAATTTTTTCCTAAATGATCCTTGAGAAAAAAATTCAAAAGCTTACGAACCATTTTGATGCAATTATTGAAAATATTTCAAAATGAAAAAGAAAACAAATATCGACAAACGGATGTGTGATTTCAAAAGAGAGACAGGATTTTTTTATTATAAAAAACTCCAAATAGCAGTAAGAGAATACGAAAGTTATAGAGTGAACATTCTCACGTTTTTTCAACAGCAGTTTGGCGATTTTTGTGAAGAACTATGAATAGCTCGGACTTATGAGTAAAATTTTTTAGCACAAACTGACGTGAGCTTTTTAACTAGACAGTCATAGTTTAATTGTTCTCGCTTTTGTTCTCAATACGAGGAGAATTTTTGATCAACTATTAAACTTTTATAGTTAAAAAAACTCTGGTGCACCTGATAGATCGGATTGCTGCGTAAGTCCTAAAACTGAGGCCTAGAAAAAAAGTTGAACAAATTTAAAGACTGGTCCTTGGGTTCCAATGATCTACACACATTAACAAGTGCGCCTAGCCAGTGCAGAGTTTGGCATCTTAATGATTCACGTTTGACAAATCATTTCTTATTTATAGGTTGAGACTGTATGTTTCATACAAGAGCTAAAATCTTCAAGCAAGCCAACTGCACAAAATGCATTTGGATTCATCTGCAAAAAACAGTGTGAAATGGAAGGAAGAAGCTAAAAATTATTGTTTGATATAAAAATTCGTCACCCGGAAAAACAGTAAGGAGGGAGCAATTATAATTACGACCCAAATACTCAATAGTTAGCAGAAAAACACAGTTAAGAATGAAGATGAAAACTTGTTTCATTTTAAAAATTAGATCTGCGTGTTTTGGTGTTACATGATCTATTTAATTATAACCCTTCTAGTACTGAAAACGAAATGCTACCTCTATGAAGAAACTACCCTTTCTTAAACTGTTAATTAAATGCAATTTTAGTAAGTATTGAAAATCTTCGTTTTTTGCAAAAAAGGGGAGAATCGTTGAAGAGACCCTAAAGATAATGATGAACAGCACAGTTTATATTTCCGGGTTGACCAAAATTTCTTATCATACAATTTCCATATATGAGAAACTTCTTGCCATGCAATTTCATACAATTCCATACGTACAGAAATTGTATGAAAATTCTATGGTAAACATTTTTCCATATATGAGAATTGTATAATAGACGTTTTTCCAGAGACAAAAAAATTGATTTTTGTTTCTTAACTTAATTTTTTTTTTTAAAATTGGTTGTGTTTGTAACCAAACACAAGTGAAAAAGACCTTGGTTTACTCAAAGCACCAAAGTTTAGACGATCATGCATCTACAAGGCACAGAAAACGACCTGAATTGTCTTTGAGCTGTCTTTCACAAATGATATAACAAAATTAACAAACT